TAGCAAACTCAACACCCAAAGAACAAATAATCCAATCAAGAAATGGGCAGAAGACATGAACAGACATTTCTGCAAAGAAGACATCCAGATGGCCAACAGACACATGAAAAAGTGCTCCACATCACTCGGCATCAGGGAAATACAAATCAAAACCACAATGAGATACCACCTCACACCAGTCAGAATGGCTAAAATTAACAAGTCAGGAAATGACAGATGCTGGCGAGGATGTGGAGAAAGGGGAACCCTCCTACACTGTTGGTGGGAATGCAAGCTGGTGCAACCACTCTGGAAAACAGCATGGAGGTTCCTCAAAATGTTGAAATAGAACTACCCTATGACCCAGCAATTGCACTGCTGGGTATTTACCCTAAAGATACAAACGTAGTGATCCGAAGGGGCACGTGCACCTGAATGTTTATAGCAGCAATGTCTACAATAGCCAAACTATGGAAAGAACCTAGATGTCCATCAACAGACGAATGGATAAAGAAGAAGTGGTATATATACACAATGGAATACTATGCAGCCATCAAAAGAAATGAAATCTTGCCATTTGCGACGACGTGGATGGAACTAGAGGGTATCATGCTTAGCGAAATCAGTCAATCGGAGAAAGACAACTATCCTATGATCTCCCCGATATGAGGGAGAGGAGATGCAACATGGTGGGTTAAGGGGTAGGAGAAGAGTAAATGAAACAAGATGGGATTGGGAGGGAGACAAACCATAAGTGACTCTTAATCTCACAAAACAAACTGAGGGTTAACGGGGGGAGGGGGGTTGGGGGGGTGGGATTATGGACATTGGGGAGGGTATGTGCTATGGTGAGTGCTGTGAAGTGTGTAAACCTGGCGATTCACAGACCTGTACCCCTGGGGATAAAAATATATTATATGTTTATAAAAAATAAAGTTAAAAAAAAATAAAAATTTCAAAACTAATGTGAAAACATCGTGAATCTCTGAGACAGGACTTAACACCTTCTTATTCTCTAGTCTTGTGAAATTGTATTTGTTCAATGGACACATGTGTATGTATTAGGCGCTTTCAACCTAAACACCATGTGTTTAAGATTCAAAACCGTGTTTGAGAATCAGATGTTCTATATCTGCCATAACATAATTGGGATTTTTATTTTCTAAAAAGAATAGATGATGTGGGTCAAATGTGAACAGATATGTTTCCTAAATGCTTATTATAAAAGCCCCGAATTAATCATAACAAAATTTCACCATCTCGTTCCATTTTTATCTCCCACTGACTTGCCCTGAATTGGGAACCTGATGTGCATTCTTAGTCCATAGGAACAGCAATGCTCTTGAAAAAATGCAAAGCATTGCATTAATTGAAGCAATCTTGTCTGACTTGTAAATTCTGGAAAACAACTTATTGGACTCAACTGTTTGGCCACATTCATAGCTCATTTTATTTAAAGCAATCATACTGATGTGTAAGTTCTATGTAAATGATGTTTACTGCACTTAAATGTGTCATCAGTCTACAGAAGCTGGTAGTTCTAGTTGTTCTTTATTGCTTTCTGCTTGTCTAGTTTGAGTGTCCTTGTTTTGTATACATCTGTTCGTGGTGATGGGGTCTTGGACTCAGGCCCTCCAGTCTCTGAGGCTCAGAAGAAGGGTTTCTTGCACATCAGTGAGCATGTAGTCTATGCTACTCTCTAAAAGAGGAAATTGACAGGCAATGGGAGGATTAGAGCATTTAGATAAAACTCAATTATCCTGCTGGGTCGTCTGGCAAGGAGAACATCCTTCTTTGTGGACCGGGGTACTTACTCTTTCCCTCACTGCAGTGGAAGCCCCACAGGGTCAGGGTTCATGGCTGTCTCATTTACCACTGTGTCCCCAGTATTGCTGCAGTGCCTGACATAAGGAGTAGGTGCTCAGTGTGAGTGTGCGTGTGTATGGGTGTGTATGTGTGTGTGTGTGTGAGTGTGAGTGTGTGATTGTGGAGAGAGAGAGAGAAAGGGAGCAAGAGAAAACAAATTTCACATTTTGACACATAGTGGAGAATAAACAAGTGAGAAAAGGACCTTCCACCTCAGCTAACATTTATTTAATACCTGATACTCTCTGAGCACCCTGAGATGTCCTAAAATCCATGCATTAAGATTGACACCCTTGTCTCACCAGGAAATCTTTTACGTATTTCCACGAAGCCTACTAATAGTTTTGACAACTGTAACAAGCATCTATCCACAATCCCACTTATCAGATTAGAAGCATATTAGGGGTGTAATGGATCCCTATGTGGACATGTGACAGCAGTAAGAAGTGACATCCTCAGAAGGAACACATAAACCATATATTACAAGAAAAAAATAGGAATATTGATATTCAAGTCATTGCTTTCCCTCAGTCAACTGAAAGAAACTGTGTGTGAGTTTCCTGGGCTTTTGTTGTATAGAAGAGGAATAGTAAGTGAAGACGTTAAAGGGATAGATCAGTGTAAGGAAAATAGAGATAAATACTAACCAGGCTGTATTTGAAAGGAGTCTGTAGGGTTCTGAGACAAAACCTAAGGAAGTTTTCCCAGGGTTACAAACGTATTTCTCTTGCACCATTTGAAAATCTTTAATTTTGACATAATTATGGATTCACAGGAAGTTGCAAGATGATATTTAGAGATCCCATGTCACCTTTCCTTTAGGTGCTTTGTTTGTTTTCATTTGTTTGTTTGAGAGGTGACTCTAAAGGGTTAAATTGTTCAGATATTAGTTTGGTGCTTTCTCTAACTGTGATATCCTGCATTTAAAATTTTGCCTGCAGAGTCATAGAGAAAAACAGTAATTCAAAAAAAGCACATCATTCTAAATATATATAATGCGCACAAAACCCTAAAAAAACCCGTTGATTGAGAAATCTATGTATTGCCATACAATGATATTAATAAGTATCATAAATCACAAAACACAAAAAGATTTGTGGCTCTACTTAAGGAGGCAAAAAAAAAAACCATGAGATTATTCTATGAATTCTATGGCCCAAATCTAGGAACAAACCAAATGTCTATCGGTAGGGAATCAGTTAACTGATTTAGTCAATGGGAGATTATACACACATTAAAAGTGAAGAGACATATACATACATAAAGAATCTCTCTCACACACATAGGAAATGTCCATAACGTGGCATTTATTTTTTAATGCTATAAAACAAAAAAAGTATCCAATATAATCCATCTCTATGTGTTTATGTGAGACTCACCAACTATATCCATGTTGTCAAATCCAAGTTTCTTTGTTATCTTTCTTGACCTCAAAGTAGCATGTGACGCAGTTCATTCTCAACTTCAGGTGATTCTCCTCTTGCTTCTTATGACACCACATTTTCTTGGGTTTCTTCCTGGTTCTTCCTCACCTATCTCCTCTTTTCCTGCTCTCTGACTGACCTCAATAATTGGAGTGTTTTGTGGCCTGGTGTTGGACTCTATTCTTTTTCTGGGCTTTATTTTCTCCCTTGGTGATCTTACAAGGTCTTTTGGCTTTAAATACCATCCCAAAACTGAAGACTCGAGATTTCTATTTCCAACCTGGTTTTTCTTGCCAGCTTCAAACTCTTTTATGTTCCAGGTCAACTTGACAACCCACAGCAATCTACAGACTAAAGCTTGTATTTTGACCTGTTGCCTCCCAAAATCTGTCTCTCCTAACTCTAAAGCATCACTGTATCTGAACTAGTTCTTGTCTTTATACCTTAACCAAGTTTCCCCTTAGTGCCTTTGCTCTGATCTCTCTTACTTTCATTCTGGTTCTTAGACACACTAAGCTCATGCTTGACTTGGGACCTTTGCATGTGGTGTTCCCTCTCCCTAGAATTCTCTTCCTTCTGATTTTCACTTGATTAATCATTTCTTATCATTCAGATCTTAAATGTCACCTCCTCAGGGAGCTCTTCCCTGAATACCATATCTAAAGTTGCTCTCATCCCCAGTACTCTCTACACCACATTTTGTTTTATTCATAACACATTTTAATATCTCTCTATTGAAATAAAGTCTCCATTTTAGTAGGAAATCTGTCCATTTTGTTAACACCCATAACCAGAATACTTTTGAAGATTTCTTGGCACAGAATAGACGCTCAAGTAATGTATATGAGTACGCTGAAATTAAATTCAGAAGGATACATACCATATAGTTAACAGTTATTGCTTCTGAGTGAAGAGTAGTAGTGGAGGTTAATTATAAACTGACTTTCACTTTCTACCAAGATACATATCACTTTGTCCTAAATGATTTGAAATGACATTGTGTTACTTTAACAATTAGACAAATTAATAAACATTTTCAATTAGCAAAAAACGGTTGATAAAATTGTGATGCTTAAAATAAACTGTTTAATTGAAAGATGAACTTATGTGGGATACTTTCTTAAGAGTGTTAGGTAAGTAACGTGTTACTATATATAGTAAAATATCTATGATTTTGTAAAAGCTCTGAAACATGAAGCAGCAGAAACTTTTGACCCAGTTCTCTTTCCTTTGAACTTGACCGCCATATCTCTTGTTAATCATTTAAATTGATTTCTTCTTCAAAAGGTAACAAGATCCAGCCACGAGCTTGACAATAACATATGCTTATTTTTCTTCAGATTATTATATTTTACATTGCTATTTGATATGTTCACCTTGAACATTTTATGTTTTGTCCTTTTCATAAGCATGAAACTAAACTTGCAAAATTAGCTGTTGTTATCAGATCTGAATGTTAAGTCAGCATCTGTTTGAGACCTTCAACTTATCAAGTATTGCAGGTCTCTGATTGTTTTGGAACCTCTTCTGATACCTGTGGACTTAGTTCAAGGCCAGTTATTTATTTTTTTTTCTAATAGGATGAACAAATGGTTAATTGTTTGCTTTGGTCACTCAAATAAATGTAGGATCTTACCTTATATAAGTCTAGCTAGAGTCTCTGTTCAGTGACATCCTTACCTTTCTAATCACAGACTCTCCTCCTCAGAAGTTTTGCATTAGATTTGCAAAATGATGACCATATCTTTGATCTGGGGGATTGTTGTAGCAGTGTGCTGTTGTTTATGGCTTATTTTTGGAATGAGGAGAAGGTAAGGAAAGTTTTATCTTTAAGCCACATTTTAGTTCATTCATTTAAAGTTCTTTTACCTTCATTGTTATATAATAAATCAGGTGTTCTGTACTTATGCTCACTAGCATTTTCTTCCTTTTTTTAACCAAAAGAACTTTAAATTTAAAATATGATTTAAAAATTCGAAGTGGCATCTTATTACATCTAACAAAAGATTGAATGACAATGCTTCCCTCCTAGTATTGACATACGCATGGTCATGCAAAAATGTACAAACTTGTTAAACATAGGTGACAGAAATTTTATAAGAAAATTTTATTCTCTGTGTATGTTTCTGGGTGGATATAAAGAAGAAGTCTGGGTTAGTAAGGATACAAGTGGTAAGTGGGATCTGCATTGGAAAAAGTTTCTTTCTAGCATGAGGATTAAATAGATGCTCTGACTAAATGCATGTTCTCTTCTCAGCTAGTTCTTGTGCACTGTATAGACTCAGCTAGGTTTGGACAAGAGCACAGAGCCTGCATTGGTCATTCTATTACCTTCTGCTCATTAATGATAATCAACTATGGTAAATTGGGCAACTACTAAATTTAGGTAACATCACTTCTATTTATATGTCATTTATTTATAATTGGTTTAAGAAGACAAGAAATACAAATAGGGTCACATACATAGCCATATTTATTTACCTTCTGATTGGCTCAAAGAATATTTTGGGGAGGGTTATGTCAGTGTTCTGTTATGTCAATCTCCAAAAGATAAAATTACCCACAGCATATCTTCAGCTATGTAGAATTCTATGTGTTGTCTCTTGTTTACAAGTTGGGGTGTGTGTGTGTGTGTGTGTGTGTGTGTGTATGCATGTGCTTTAAGGTATTTTACTTCAGGCCTGATGATTTCTAGTTTTAGTTAACCTTAGTTATCTTTGAACTCATAAAATGAACATAATTATTTTATGCTAAGTAGTTCTATCAAGAGGGATATGAGTTTATGATGGAAAATTAATATTCTTTAATAAAAACACTTAAAATAGCATGAAAGACTGTGTGTCAACTATACTTCAATAAAAAAGAGACCACAAATAGCATGAAAGAGTGTTGAATCACAGTTGGTGATCCTGTCAATATTTATCTTACCTAATTTCATTTTAAAATAAACTAATTTCTCAAATAAGATTCTTCTTATCTTCAAGAATCATCACAGAATAATAATACCTTTAAACTATGAAGATTTTGAAAACTTCAATTTTGCCATCTTCTCTGCAATTCAGTATTCTATATCTTTAAAGAAAACAAATAAAACATTTTGAGAGACTCAGGCAAATGATGTTTAGGAAAAATATGAACACTGAAATGTAGCTTCATCTGTACTGAGAGGCAGAATCTTGTTGGTCTTGTTGATCCTTTAACCTCATCACTGGAAAAAGTGACTATCAACACAGTGGACATCCAATAAGTGTTCGTGGAATGCATGGATGGATGGATTTAGCAATCATTTTTACCAACATATCATGTTACTAGGTTAATATAACCCATTATTTTAGTAGAAGAGCAGGGTTCCATCAACAAGAGAACTACCTATAACTGTAGAGTTTTGAAGTTTGAAGTCAGTAGTAAAAGTTTAAATCAGGTGTAAATTAAAAAAATGCGTAATTTCCCATTCTCATCATATGTTTGTGTCTTACAGACAAATGGGTGAACCACCTCTGGAGAATGGGTTGATTCCGTACCTGGGATGTGCTCTGAAATTTGGTGCCAATCCTCTTGAGTTCCTGAGAGCAAATCAAAGGAAATATGGTCACGTTTTCACCTGCAGATTGATGGGAAATTATGTTCACTTCATCACAAATCCCTTGTCATACCAGAAGGTGTTGTGCCATGGAAAATACTTGGATTGGAAAAAGTTTCACTTCACTACTTCTGCAAAGGTAACCAGTTTCCCATTTATACAGCATTCTGCTTGTTTTCTATTTTTTAGTATGTCAGTCTATTTAGCCTTTTGATGTTCTTAGACTTAAAAATAGAGATACTGAAGAGAGTTACCCTTCCATGGAGATTCTTAGAAATACAATGTATCCAATTAGACAGAACCTCTTGGTAATAATCGTTTCAAAAGTCAACACAGGTATAGATTTGTCATTTCTTAATCACCTGGAATGAAATAAAAATGAAATATTTTACTGAGCCAGATGGTGCTGTATCAGAAAGACAGGTACAAACTCCTTCGTGTCAGCCATGTCAGTTATCTACATAACTGACATGTTAGTTATCTCCGTGTCAGTTATCTACATAACTCCCAGAGCACATGTGGTGGAAAGTGATCACTGAACAATTGTTTTACCACACTTTTGCCACACAATTGTTTAATTTTGTTAAGCAAGTGACCAGATATTTTGGCATTGCTTAGCAAAAAATATAGAAGAGAACTGATGATTCAGACAAATACGGATTAATACCAAATTAACCTGCCAGTAGATTCAGTAGCATAAGAAAAATAAAAAGTGGACAACTTGCATGGTTGAGGGACCTTTCCCTGAAGAGCTGGAATTTCAACTTGGCCTTCCAGGAAGGGTAGGATTTGGCCATTTATTTGGAAAGTGCTAGGAACTTGTATGTGCAAAGGCCAATTTCCCTCCTGCCCTGTTTTTAACAAGTAGAGAATTATGAAAGTATCTAATCTGTTTTTCAGCCATTTTCTAGCACTGCATCTAGTTTAATCTCTTCTTTTCACACATTTCATTTGTCATCAGGCATTTGGGCACAGAAGCATTGACCCAAGTGATGGAAATACCACTGATAATATAAATAAAACTTTCATCAAAACCCTGCAGGGCGATGGCTTGAATTCCCTCACAGAAGCCATGATGGAGAACCTCCAACTTGTCATGAGACGTCCGCTGTTATCTAAATCAAAGATGTCTGCCTGGGTGACGGAAGGGATGTATTCCTTCTGCTACCAAGTAATGTTTGAAGCTGGGTATTTAACTCTCTTTGGCAAAGATCTTACAGGGCAAGATGCACAAAAAGGACTCATTCTGAATAACCTTGACCACTTCAAGGAATTTGACAAAATCTTTCCGGCTCTGGTAGCAGGCTTCCCTATTCATGTGTTCAAGACCGCACATCACGCTAGGGAAAAACTGGCAGAGGGCTTGAGGCATGAGAACCTCGGAAAGAGAGACCGTATCTCAGAACTGGTCAGGTTTCTGAATGACATGCTTTCCACCTTAGACGACATGGATAAGGCTAAGACACACCTTGCTATCCTCTGGGCGTCCCAAGCAAACACCATTCCGGCGACTTTCTGGAGCTTATTTCAAATGATTAGGTAACTAGCAATTTATCCATTTATTTCTTTATTTTAATTGAAAGTAGAAAAGCTACTATTTTAACTAAAAAAAAAAAGAGTCATGGTACTTTATCATGCTATCGATCAAGAAGGTGACATTTACTTTATAAATGTTTAACAAGTATCAGTTCATCCAGTCCTCACAAAACTATAAGCAACTGTGCCTGGTACACACATCTTGTGAAAGCAGAGACCTTTCCAGGGGGAAAGAATGCACTGTGTAGGGTCAGTTCGGGCCACCTGGGCGTGAAATCCCCAGGCTGTTCCCCATGACATGCCTACTTAAATTGATGAATTCTGTCTTCATGATCATAAAAATGTATTTAAGTGATTCTGGCTCATGGACAGAGAGAGAGCAGTGCCTATGCCTTAGTTGTTTGTGTATTAACAGTTTGTTTCCACCCCATTAATTCTGTCTTAGTGTTTCTTTGACCAACTGTGATAGCTACGGATCAATACTACTGATTATTATTTATGGGCTTTGGCTCGATTTTACCTTTTAAATGGATGCAACAAAAACTCTGTATGCAACATTTACTTTACATAACATGATTGTGTTCCAAAGTGTTAGTCTTTTGGAAATTTGACGTTCAAATGGTTTATTGGATTATTTTGGTTAAATTGCGTGGTTAGTCTCACATGGAGACAAAATTACTACTCTGTAGCAATGGGAATGCCAAATTTCCAGTGACGGCTGATAGTTTTTATGTCTTTAATGTAACAAGTATTTAGGGGCGCAAGCGTGGTTAAGCGCCTGACTCTAGATTTCTTTCCAGGTCATGATCTCAGGGTTGTGAGATCATATCAGGATCTGCCCTGAGCATGGAGCCTGCTCAAAATTCTTCCACTGCCCCTCTCTCCCACTCATGCATGCGTGCGTGTGTGCTCTCTCTCTCTCTCAAAAAAAAAAAAAAATTAGAAAAAATATCAGATATAAAAACCCAATACTAATCTGCCTCAAATGTTAAATGTCTTCCCAAGTTTTTACTTGAGAGACCTCCATCCAGAATAAATTCATATATTTTCAGTAAGGCTATGACATCAGTGTAATATTATAAACAGTAGCCCTTTTATGACAGTCACACATACACCTATTAGTCAACATTTCTGAGACTGAATTTACTGCAGTCATGTTATATAAATCCCTCCCCATGGCACTAAGAATCCAGTAAATGTCCGTGCACTAAAACGCACTAAACATTCATTTTACAAGTTAAAGTGCTAGAACAATATAAGAAAGGAAAAACTGTTGTTCTACATGAAATCATAGTATGGGTTTTAAGAGTAAATTTTGATATCCATTTGCAAGTAGCTAATACTTTATAATTGTTATCTCACATGCAATTTTCCTTCTCAGTTGCTATGTATATGGCCAAAGTTTTACTTTTGTGTTGCAAAATCCTTTTTTTTCCCCCAAAATCTTTTAAGGCAACAATTCTTGCTAATATCCAAGGACTTAGACACAATTATAAAAGGAGTAAAAAGTAATTGGGAACGTCCCTTTCCCACCTTCTCTGCTATCTTGACCGCCTAGTTAAAAGAAGGGGCAAACGTCTATCCATTTGCTGATCTTTTGGTGTAGAAAACATTTGTTTTCTGTACATCTCTTCTTTTTTCCACTTTTGCTAGGAGCCCTGAAGCAATGAAAGCTGCTACTGAAGAAGTGAATAAAACACTAGAAAACGCTGGCCAGAAAATCAGCTTTGACGGCAGTCCTATTTGTTTGAATCAAATGCAACTGAATGACATGCCCGTGTTAGGTATGCTTACTACGTTACATTTCATTTACCGTGTCCCACAAATAGTAATCGTCAATATCTATTATGCACTTACCTGTAGGCATTAAGCTAAGTATTTCCTATGCGTTGTCCTGTTTGATCCTCACCACAATCCTATGACTGGTGACTAGTTTCTATAGAACAGATCAGGAAATTGACACAGAAAGGTTAAGTTCATACTGGGATGGAATGGTGAAACCAGATACAGTGTTGATGTGGGCCTCCTGACCCTACCTTCTCAACTGTTTCTCTGCCCTGCCTTACTCTGTCTTCTTTATTATTATTACCCTTACCACGGATGTTATGATTAATGGGAGCATATTACTCATTTTCATGAAATAAAGGAGGAAAAAGTACCATCAAGTACCATCAAGACACCATGATTTGCTGCATGGGTTGAGTGACCATGATTTGCTGCATGGGTTGAGTGATGAGATAGATGGTTATTTTGCATTTCTTATTTTTGCATCTCTGTGTTTTACAGAAATACAAAAGTATTCTATTTTTATAGTGATGAAGAGTTTTCTTTTTGTTTTGTGACTTCTCTCTTGAGGAAAGAGCCCCGTGCATGTTAGAAGCAGCAGGTCTTAGTGGAAGGGACCATGAGGCCAGAAGCATATGTTCTACATTGGGTTCTGCCCACCACGGAAGACCCCAGACATGTCACTTCATTTTGGGAGGACTTGCTTTTCTCATTTGTAAAAGAAAGGGCTAACATGTTATGATTTTACACACGGTCATATGATGATCACATGACCGTTAAAATGTGAGAAGCTGGAAGGTCGGGCGAGACCCTCTCAATGGATCTGCTTATCTTAGCTATTTGCAGGGTGGTTCTTTTTGCCCCTTTACATCTTTACCAGACAGTAGGGCATTATCATACACCATCAGGGGGCATAATCATGAAAATGGGGTCTTGGAAACACTGAACTGAAGTGGCATTAAACATCTGGAAAAACATTTCTGTATGAAAATGATATCAGTATATTAAATCTCAGAAGCAACAAACTTTGAATAATTCACATAAAAGTGATTTACTGATTTCTCCAATTGTATTAGATGTCTAGTGTCATGTAGAAATAAGATTATTTTTCCATAAAGTTATAAAAGTCTAGTTGTCATTGATGATCACAAAGATTATATGTTTATGAAATGGTTACTATAAACTCAGATTGTCAGGTAAAAACGACTTTCAGACACAAGTGAATCACTGATTAAGGCATAGTGGCAACAGAAAAAAAAAAAAAACGGGAAAGTTTTATCTGGCCATCTTCCCCTAGTTCGTTCACAAGTTTGTTCTTGTGTCATAAGCTCTTAGCAGTATTTCAGACTCCATTTTAGGAGGTCTTTAAATAATTGATTTGTTCTTCCTTTCCTCCTCCTCCTCATTTCGTCCTTTAAAAATATTTAGATAGCATCATCAAGGAGTCTCTGAGGCTTTCCAGTGCCTCCCTGAACATCCGGACTGCTAAAGAGGACTTCACTTTGCACCTCCAGGACAGTTCCTATAACATCCGCAAAGATGACATCATAGCTCTTTATCCGCAGTTGATGCATTTCGATCCAGAAATCTACCCAGACCCTTTGGTAAGTGACTGTTCATCAAAACTCAATATCCAGGTGATGTTCACCCAGATGGAAATAAAGAGGAAATTTACCAGGGCACCTGGGTGGCTCAGTCGCTTACACGTTGGACTCAGGTCATAATCTCACGGGTCATGAGATGGAGCCCCACATGTTGGGCTCTGTGCTCGGTTGGGAGTCTGCTTAAGATTATGTCGCTCCCTCTCCCTCTGCACTTCCCCACCAAAGGCGTACTCTCTCTCTTTAATAAATAAATACATTTTTTAAATAATGAGGACATTCTCTTTAATAAATAAATACATTTTTTAAATAATGAGGACATTTACTATTGCAGAATTGATTTTAATCACTGAAGCCGTAGGCATTGTCTTCTTTTTTTTTTTTAAAGATTTTATTTATTTATTTGACAGAGAGAGATCACAAGTAGACAGAGAGGCAGGTGGAGAGAGAGAGAGAGAGAGGGAAGCAGGCTCCCTGCTGAGAAGAGAGCCCGATGCGGAACTTGATCCCAGGACCCTGAGATCATGACCTGAGCCGAAGGCAGCGGCTTAACCCACTGAGCCACCCAGGCGCTCCTAGGCATTGTCTTCTTACTTATGTCCAATATTCATAGATTTTGGAAAAATTGGATGATGGCCTGAACTTTACAATTTCTGATACTTGTCATCGCATCATCTCTGCTAGATTATGTTTACAATCATGATAATAAAGCTACTGTCTTTCTTTTCCCTTAATAACTGCCTGCTCCCAAATGCAGGAAATTAGAGGCTAATGTATGTCTCTTCTAGTTTCTAATCTGAACTCTTCCTTCTTGTTTTGCCCTAATGGAGGAAATAGTCCCCCAGGCAGGATGGAAGGTATAATAAAGCCTTTTATGTTCCCCTCAGTTCTTGTTAAACTCCTATTCCTTATTAATTTCTGAGTCGAAGTGGGGAATTTGCTAAATTGCCATTAGATTGGATTAAAAAGGAAGATTATTCTTTGGAGCATCCAGGTCAAGAAACAGATAAATTCCTTTAAAACTAGCTTATAGTTGTGTTCTCTTTGTATTTTTATTGCAGACCTTTAAATACGATCGATATCTTGACGAAAATGGGAAGACAAAGACCACCTTCTATAGTAACGGAATAAAGTTAAAGTATTACTACATGCCCTTTGGGTCAGGAGTGACAATTTGTCCGGGAAGAATATTTGCTGTCCAGGAAATCAAACAGTTTTTGATTCTGATGCTTTCCTATTTTGAACTGGAGCTTGTGGACAGCCAGGTTAAATGTCCCCCTTTGGACCAATCCCGTGCAGGCTTGGGTGTTTTACCACCATTAAATGATATTGAGTTTAAATATAAATTCAAACATTTGTGAACATATGGTTGGAAGCAGAGGACATGAGATGATGTTACCAGCCTGCAGAACACCATCATGGACAGTCGCCTTTGGCAATGGTGGCACTGAGTCAGCGTGGTCCAGCTCCATACATGGATGCTTGCTTCTGAATCTAAACATTTTGGTGGCAGTTTCCAGATGCTATCTCAGACTGTGCTAGTGAAAAAAACCTTGTTTCTAGAAGCACAATGATATGTTTTCATTTGAATAAGTCAGTGAATGTTCATCTAGCCAGGCACTGAAATTATTTTCAGAGGAAAATGTCTTTTTTTTTTCCACAATGAAGATATTCCAATTGGCAAAAGGTTTTTTTTTTTCCTAAGGAAACAGCTTTATTTTTATAAAAACAACCCAATAATTATGAAAAAGGTACAAATTCACGTTTTAGTGAAACCACATGATTTTTCGACTAAATATAGAATATATTTTTCTTTTCTTTTTTAGAACATAAACCTTGTATTGTCCAGCACCTGTGATAGTTTCATGCCTCTCTAAAGATAGCAGGAAGTTTAGAGCATTATTTTAAAGGAAAAGGGTGAGTAGGCATAGCCCGAAGTCCGTAACTATCTAAGCACATGGGAATGTGCTCTTAGTACAATCAAATCCACACCTGACATGCTCCCCATCACAGTCAAATGTAGATGTATATTATAAAAGATATATTAAATGATTTTATCATGCTTTTTAATAAAAAGAAAACATTTTCCAGCTTTCCCTGTAGGCAGTATTAGGGCTTTTAAAATTGTGACTTTGGTGTCCTGAAAATACTAAATACGGTTTTAATATTTTCTCTTCATGCTTTAATGTATTTGTGCTGGAAACTCTAATGTCTGTGTCATGTTTCAACTATCTTATCTATATTTTCATTAGATTCCATACTAAACAGATTTTTTCAGAGAAGGTAGTTTTTCTGGTACTACTAACCATGCATCAATGAAGAAAATGTAGCTCTCCTGTGATAGCTTTTAAAATGAAAACGATGAAAATTACCATTTGAAAGCCTTGGATATGAAACATACAAAGAGTTCGTTAAATATTGTGTTTTATTTAAATACATTTTATCTTTAAATGACTTGTAGTTGAAGGAAAAATAATTGAAGGCTAGATAGTAGTATTTAACTACTGCTCACAACATTCCTTTGGTAAAATATTTTAAACATTGGACTTACCATTTATGCCACTTTTATTGATACTTTTGTATGTATATATTCTTTTGAGAGAGAAGGAGAGCACATGCATGCATGGGAGTGTGGGGGAGGGGCAGAAAGGGAGGGAGAGAGAATCTCAAGCAGCCTCCATACCCAGTAAAGCTGGACCTGCGGCTTGATCTCGTGACCCTGAGATCACAATCTGAGCTGAAATCAAGAGTCTGACTGTTGACTGAGCCACTCGGGTGCCTCTTATATATGTATTTATATGTAAATTATATTTCCCTTTTCTCTTGTATACAAATACTGAGAAAATATTGTAACATTTAGATAATTTTGAAATGATTCACTTTTCAGAAATAAAAGTATGAAAGTGTGTAATTTTAAGTTCTTCAATCATGAGAATGTTTTAAACATTCACCTAGTGACAAGCTGCAACAGTTTTGTTCATTAATCATCTCTTAGAAAAAGTAAAATAGTCATTCACTCAAAAATCTCCTCCATACTTCATACAAGCCATTGAAGATTTTTTAATCTGGCTATTCAACATTACTGTAGTTATGTAGGTTATGTAGGTTATTTTATATATTAAGAAAAGTAAACTTATTTAGATATAGTGCAAGATGAACGAAATTCTGTCTTATAACAAATTGTTTTCAACTGAATTTCTAATTGCAGTTCCCTAATATATTTGATAGCATAGTGGATGGGTCTATACGTCTTTCTGCATCTTTTTTCTTATAGAGCAGGGGTCAGGGATTGGTCACAACTGTGGGCCAGAGGTGCCTCTCCACCTGTTTTTTTTTTTTTTTTTTTTATGGACTGAAATCTAAGAGTGGTTTTTACATCTCTAAAGGGTTGCAAGAAAATCAAAGATTATTTATTTATTTATTTGACAAAGAGAGAGAGATCACAAGTAGGCAGAGAGGCAGGCAGAGAGAAGGAAGAAGCAGGCTCCCTGTCTAGCAGAGAGCCTGATGCGGGGCTTGATCCCAGGACCCTGAGATCATGACCTGAGCCAAAGGCAGACGCTTAACCCACCGAGCCACCCAGGCTTCCCCCACTTTGAAAAAAATTTTTGATTATTTATTTATTTATTTGACACAGAGAGAGAGAGAGAGAGAGAGAGAGATCACAAGTAGGCAGAGAGGCAGGCAGAGAGAGAAGAGGTGTTTGCAAGAAAATAAAAAAAATATTTCATGACATATGAAAATTACATAAAATTCAGATTTTCCCCAACCACAAGTGAAGTTTCATGGGGATGCGGAGCCAATGCATTTTGTGTTCGTGTCTGGGGCTGCTCTTGCAATGGAGTTGCAGAGCTGAATAGTTGCAACAGAGACCATGTGTTCGTAAAGCTTCAAATACATATTAGGTTGTAAAGCCTAAAAGAGATATGTCAAAGGCTAAATGTATCCAAGGGTTACTGTGGTCCAGGTCCAAGCTTGAACACTTTCCTTGCACACTGGATCCTCGTAGGAGTTCTGTGGGGTGCTTGTTCCTATCACCCCTATATTACAGAGGAGAGAGAGGGAACTCCGGAAAGGTTAAGGTCACTGCCCCAAGGTTATAGTGCTGGCAAGTGGCAGAGTATTGGAATCCAAGTTTTTCCTACTCCAGAGCCAGCATTTTTTCACTTGGTGGCACGTCAAAGTGACAGTCTGTCTTTTTAAACTCAGGTCATGGAGGGTAAGCCACAGTAAACAAAATCCATGATGTCATTTCTGTCCTAAAACCTCCAATGTTTGGGAGCATCGCTTGGCCATACTCAGTGGATCCAGGGTTGCTAGGATGCTGGGGACCCCTCTTTGCTGACTCCAACTATGAGTCTGTGAGGAGCTACTGTGTCATCACATTCAATGTCCCTATGTTAAAGGATGCTGTCCTGCATGCTGGAAGGCATTCCTTTGCCTTGCCAATAGCTTAGACTTGCTCACTGCGGAGTCTCAGGCAGTTCCTCCCAGGATCAGTGTTAGATGTTTTCGAGGTGGTTGAAATTAAGGCTTCAGCCATCATCTCATTAGCAGGTAAGTGAATGCCAATGTCATACTCACCAGCCCTTCTCACATCACCTTGACTTATCCCAATTCGGAGACTTGGGCAGAGAAAGTGACACGAAGATAACAGCACTGATGTATCAGAGCATCGCAGACTATTCAGGTTCTTCTATTCTAAGCTCTCATTTTAGTTAGAAACTGGCTTCCGGTGAAAGCGAAGCCATTTTGTTAAAAAGGGTGCACAGCAAGGGATAGGGCAGGCTTGGGTCTGGAAATCTCCTGTTTGTACAGCAAATACTGTAGTCACTGAATTAACCAGTATACACTGAACATTAAGGACCTCAGTCTCCAAGCTAGAGGCTATAGGTTCGTTCCATAGACTCCACAAAGTCCATCTCTTTATCTATAGAATTATACATAATAGAAAAATAGAAAAAAAATAGAATAGAAATCATTTAAAATTAGAATAGAAAAATTAAAACATTCGTAAACTTTAACATTACTATATTTTTATAAAATTCCCACCTTTATTTGAAAAAAAGTATATAATGGGGCACCTGGGTGGCTCAGTGTGTTAAGCGTCTGCCTTCAGCTCAGGTCATGATTCAAGGGTCCTGGAATCGAGCCCCACATTCGGCTCACTGCTCAGTGAGGAGCCTGCTGCTGCCCTCGCTCCCCCGCTCTCTTTTTCTCTCTGAAATACATAAATAAAATCTTAAAAAAAGAAAAAAGAAAAAAGTATACGATTTCTGGTATCTTCAACCCCATTTGCTAAGGAACCACGTTATCCAGCAATCTGCTGTCAAGTTAATTGGAAAATAGATGCCCCTTGGCATCTAGAAATGGCAGTTCTAGAACCAATTAACTCTGGATTAAAGAATGACAGTTTTAAGAATGGTGAGTTTGTGTAAGTGAGTTTCTGAGAGATGGGAGAGCTTACAGGAGAAAAGATGATCTCCTCCCTGACGTGCTATTTTGCAAAATTTCAAGCACCGAGAAACAGGTTAGAGGAGCACAGAGACCACCCTCCACTTTCATCCAGATCCACCAATTGTTCACTTTGCCGCATTTGCCTTTTACCAAGAAAGCTGACTTTAAGAGTGATTTTAATTAGGCCTTTCATTTATAATTATTTTCCTTTAAAAAAATTTTTACTTACTTATTTGAGGGAGAGAGAGAGAGCATGAACAGGCAGAAGCAGCAGAGGGAGAGGAGGAAGCAGGCTCCCCAATGAGCAAGGAACCTGATCCGGGGCTTGATCCCAGGACTCTGGGATCATGACCTGAGCTGCAGGGAGATGCTTAACACACTGAACCACCCAGGCGCCCCTATAATTATTTTCCTTTCTAAGTTCCCAATTTGGTGTTTGATCTCTGGTTCCTCTGGACCTTTGGGGAGGTGAAAGGGACTAGGGAACCAGGTGGTCCCAGATGGGATTGATTCTCTTCCCTACTAGCGCCACATCTATATATAATCTTGTTTTCCTTTTCTGGAGGGAAAATTAGTGAAATTCACTTCAACTCCCCTGGAAACAGAAATTGCTTGTTTAAACATAAAAATATATACACATGGGAAAATGTGTAAGGAAACTATTTTTCTTCAGAAGTTTACTTAGAGTGTGCTGGTGAGAATATGGTTGGGACAAGGTCCAGGTATTGACGTATTCGGTGCTCCAAGTAACGTGTGTCTGTCCAGGGATGTCCCTGAGGAGTGAGGGCACGTGTCCTGGGGGATGGGGGAGGCTCTGGCATGAACACAGGAGAATCGGGCAGACTCAGCAATCAGTTTCTCAGAAATACGGACATTAGTGCCTTTACTTTATCACTTCTTTGGAGTGATTCCAGGGAATACCGGTTCCCCGGGAGGGTGACTATATTTTCTTCCCCTCTATAGCTCACCAAAGGTCTGGACTGATGTCTTGCACATAGTAGGAGGTCAAGTGTTTGAAGCCAGGGGCGAAGGGAATGAATGAGGTAAATGTGGATGGAGGTGCTTTGCTTGTGGGGTGGGGGTGGTGTCCCTGTTTTTCTTAGTCCAGACTCCACAAGCTAAATGCTTTGTTTGGCTGCTTTGCTAAGCAGACCTTTTTGCTTTTCTCTATTG